ACATATTGTCAGGAGGGACCTGTCACTAGAGAAGGATATCATGTTTTGTAAGGTGGAGGGTCAGAGAAAAAGAGGAAGACCCCCAGAGAGCTGGACTGGCCAAGTGGCAACATCGATGGACTTAAGCGTGGCAACAGTAGTGAGGTTGACCCAGGATCGGGCAGTGTTTCTTTCTGCTGTGCATAGATAGGGTCGCTATGAGTAGGTACCAACTCGATGGCACCTAACAACCACAACAACAATGCTAGGTATTGGTGTGGCACTGTGAGTTAATGCGCCAGACTGCAAAGCCAGTTTAAACTGCAAGGTTGGTGGTTCAAGCTCACCAGCTGCTCCTCTTAAACCTGATACAGGGTCACTATGGGTCAGAAATAACTCAACAGCACTTAACAACAACAACGCTAGCATATTACAGACAGTTAATAGTTGTAAGCAAAAAACTAAGACTCAAATGTACTGAAATAAATTTCTCCTTTGATTGAAAAATGTATTTCATAAATATAACCAAATCATATAAGGTAGTATTTAGAGAAGCATGGTACATAAACCAGATCCACCAGAATCACTTGAGGCATTATTAAAAATCCTACCCAAGACCTAGAAAATCAGGATGGGAATGTAGAAAGGGAGCACAAAGCATCTGCACTTATAGCGGGATTCCAGATAATACATACTAAAGTTTAAGACCTCTTATAGAAAGCATTTATAATTACATACCAGACTAAAGGAGCTCTGGTAGTGTAGTGGTTACGAATCGGGCTGCAAACCTTAAGGTCAGCAGTTCGAAACTACCAGCCACTCTGCAGGAGAAAGATGAGGTTTTCTACTCCCGTAAAGATTTACACCCTCGGAAACCCTGTACAGGGTCGCTGTGGGTCGCAACCGACTCGACGGCACTTAACAACATAGGAAAGAGATTGCTCCTTTTCTCCTCCTGATTTTTCTTTCCACTAGTTCCTTGTTTCCTAAGGATCTGTGTTACCATACTCACCCTCACAAATCAGCCATTTTTCTTAGTGCTGACACAGTATTTGGAACATCCTTTTCCCATTCTCTAGTCTACAACCCACATAAAATTAAACATAGCAACAGCTTTTTCTGTATTGGAAATAATCTACTATGCTATATATATCAACTAATTCTGATGTAAATCCCCAAACCAGTTTGGCAGCCAACGAACTACTTCATTTTTTGATTCAGTTTATTTAGATCTCATGTTTCAATGTTATTAAATGACTAATGTTCTTTAAAGAATACATCTGATCTCTATTCATACCTTGCCTACTTGAGTAGTTTCTTTCAAGGTCATGTTGTAAGAGTCGACCAGGAAATGATGATGTTTCTTTATTTAGCCTGAATTCAACCTAAAAAAAAGTATATATATATTTTAAGAAAGAAAACATTAGCGAAAAAGTTAATCATAAGTAATGAAGATAATGACAAAACCGCATACAATAAGTAATACATGCTACAACAGAGATGAACCTTAAAAATATTCTACTAAGTGAAGGAAGCCAGACACAAAAGGCCACCTATAAGGAAGCTTCAAAAAGTCTGTGGGAAATTCTTCTTTTTTCCATTACAAAGAATCTTTACTTTTCTCTTTTTTTCTTTTTTTAATATTTTATTGTGAATTATGTGATAGGTCACATGGGAAAACATTAGCTTTACATTCATCCTATCGTATATCATTTCATTGCCATGCTTATAATCCCTCCATGCATCATCAACCAACCAAAGAATATACCCTGCAAGCCTACCCACCCCCCACTCCCTACCGCCCCCCACCATCAGCACACAGACCCTCTCTCTCTCTAGTTCTAGAGTCCCCAGCTGTTCCATCTCTCCACGTCATCATCTCTGCCTCCATCTCTGGTGTTGCTGCTTGTCTGGGTAGGGTCCTGTCCTCCACTCTTCTCCCTTGATGGTCCCAGGGGCCTCCACTCCTAGACTGCAAAGTCAATCACTCCCCTCCTTTTGCTACAAAATGTCTACCTTTACATTTATAACCCTCACAGTCAGTCCTGATAACAATTATTCTTTCATCAGCTCCTTTCATCAGCCCCGCCCAGACAGACTGGATACTACTCAGTGGAGATTTTACCTTCCTCCACGCCCTCTGGATCTAGGTTCTCTCTTG